AATCACTGGACATCCTGAATAGATTCGTAGAGGGTGTACAGACTTCAGGACTACTTCAAGACACACACTTTGTAGCTGTCCCAACTAGACATTGTATGACCTGGAAATTCTGCAATGCTTAAATTTTTATCATACATCTATGACATATATCATATGAGGGTACTTCAAAAAGTCCACAGAAAAATAGAATTAAAAGATAATATATTTCCATGAACTTTTGAAGACCCCTGTATATATAAAATATATATGATATATATTTTTATGGGGGGAAGGAAATATAGGTGTTTTTAGAGGCCCCTCAAGAGGCAAGGATGGGCAAATAACTTTTAAGGCCAAAAAAATGTCTAGTAATTAATATTAAGTTGTTTACTGTGTTGTAATTCACTTCCATGACAGCATTTCTTCAGTAAAGCCGAGTAAACACACATACACAAATACACACACACCCCAAGACACAGCATCCTCCCTCTGGCAGCACAGCCCTTTACTGGCTGCTATGGCTCAACCCCTATGTACCAGGACTAGAAAGAATAACTTAATTCAAAATCCTGCTGGACGGTAAGTAACAGGAAAACTTCCTGCCCCCATCAAGCCAGGCTCAGTGTCCAGAGTGGGTCTGAAGGTGGGAGGTCTTCAAAAGGATCTAGCTGGGCTAATATTCAAAATATTTAGTAGCCAGTATGACAGAGGTCCCGACCAATCAGAACTACGACCAGCACACTCTAACCTGCTGGCAAGTGACCATAATCCCTGCATCCAGCTGGGGGAAGCTGTAGAGGTGGAGGCTGGGCGTCCATTGGAAGGGTTGACATTGGAAGGTGAATGAAAGCAGACCCTTCCAGTGTGACCCGCTGTTTTCCTGCATGCAAAGGACTGTACATTTCAACCTGAGACCCTGGGAGGCCTGCAGGGCATAAACTAGATTTGTCTTCCTGCCGGAGGCGATCACCAATTATACATGCTGCGAGGCAAGCTGGCCTCCCGCCAGAGGAGGAGGTGATGAGATTTGCAGAATCTCTCTCTGATCTAACTTGTTAGAGAAGTTAAAGAATACCCATCCAGGAGTCAGCACAGTGCAGAGAAAAAGAAGCCAGGATTCAAGTCCTTGCTATCTGGGAGGCTTAGACAAGAGTTCCCCAACCTCTCTCGGGCTCAGTCCCGTTGTCTGGAAAAGGGGAATTATTAACAGTATCTACCTGGCAGGGTTGTAATGATGAATGAGATAATGAGCAGCTTTTATTATTATTCAAGATGGGGAAAATGATCCAGGAATTAGACCAGAAATAAGTGATCAAAAACTAACGTGAGATACAAAGTTACACGAAATTGGCAGTGGGAAGTCTGGCTCAAGGGAAGTTGTTTCTACTACTGTTCGCTTTTATGTGTCCATGATAATCCAAGGCCAGTAGAAAGTAGGAATATCGAGTAAGATCCAAGGCCTTTCTGATCGGAATTTGCGCAGACACATTCTCATCCCGCATCCTCTCCAGGTGCTGGTCCAGCCCAGCCAAACTGGAGGCTGGTGTTGTTTGTAACAAGATAAATGATCTGTTTTTCCTTGAAAAGCAACATTAGCTGCCACTTCCCCACCAAGATGAAAGAAAACCAAATCGGACTCTAAATAACACCCATGTGACCACACCTCCATGCTGCAATCTTTTACTTTTCCATAATAACCATGTGTGACATGTGAAAACATATCGGACTCTACAATAGCTATAATGCTGCTTTGTAAAAACCACTCACCTCTTATGGAACACCACAGGTTTTTGGAAACTCATGTGGGCCTTTTTTTCTCTTCTCCAGATGAGACATTTACTGTAGAGGGGTTACTGAGAGAAGAACCCAGATGTGCCAGTGGCAGGACAGAAGCATCCAAGATGCCACACTTGCCAACTGAGGAATGCTGAGCCAAGCAGCTTCGACTGCTGTCTTTGCAAAGGCATAACACCTGAGAGGTGGCAAATACCCCTGTTGTCCCCCTTTCCTCAGCTCTGATGTCCTACACCTAAGGCCGAGGGCATCCTGGCAATTTCCAGAAGGTACTGCATCCCAGAAGGAACTTCATCGCAGAAGGATTGTGCCAGGGGGCTAAGTTTGCTCAGTTTGCTCAGAACCACATCGGTGGCCA